AAATCCGAATCACATAATAACATGTACCCGGCAGATCTGTCCGGCTACCATTTTTTGAGGGCGACGCTAGGGTCGTTGGTAGGTATATCAAAGATCATATGACTAGGCCTGCTTTTATTGGTTTGCGTCCAATCATGTGGATTCGTGTAACTTTACAAGCATGAACAAAACAGAGGTTCTATATATATATATTTCCACCTGCTATGCCCTTTTCTACCCAGGCCGTTTTGTTTACTGTTTGCATCTACGTATCTATCTATTTATCTGTATCTATCTATTTATCTTAGTATTATTTATTTATTTATTTATTTTTTATTTGATTTTATTTTATTTATTTTTTTTTCGACCATATATTATAGAGCGGGTGGGTGGGATTATGATCTTTGATATACCTACCTCGCTTGTCCATTTACAAATGCATTTCACTAGTTCATACATTTGAGTAAATGAACTCCGCTCGGTAAGTATATCTCAGATCATATGACTACTGCAGATTAACTGATTCACAGATCTCCCTATTTGCGGTAGCTAAAATGCCCTGTGTAACTTGATTTTTTTGTAGCATAATCATAACCTCTCGCTGATAAAATTGTTGTTATACACTGTGGCTCAACCAATTACTTATCACCAATATGGTTGAAAGGTCAGTCCCTGAACTTTGACCATAGAATGCTGCTAGCGACCTAGCATCTTTTGCCTTCAAGTCAGGTGATGCTTCATACAACATGTCCTTAATCCATCTTGCCACTGTGTCAGGTGCTGGGAGTTTTGATGACTTGTTGAAGTTAGTAGTAAACTGGTCTTCTGCTCATATAAGATGTGCCAGTTCTGGGTTCGAATCAGAAGAGCATTAACAGTGTCTAGTGGTGAAATTTCTGGTAATTCTGAGTAGTGCCTAACATAAATCTTCTTTAATGCTAGTTTGTTACTCCCATGGGCAAGTGATATTTTGTGTTTCTTCAGGCTTCTAATGCTAAACATAGCCTCATGAGCTGTGAGCACCATGAATGATGCATTAATTCTAATTAGGTTTGAAGTTCTACTTGCTATGGTAATTGACAACAGGAAGGAAACCTTTCTTAACAATGATAAAATGTCTATGGCATTGTTGTTTCCAAAGAATTGCACTTTGTCAAAAGCTGGAACTAAATTGACTATTTCATCATCAGTTGGTAGAGGTAAGTTTTTATTGTACACTCCTCTCATCACTTTAACAATGATAGGGTGTGAGCCTATAGGTGTGTTGTTCATCCAGTCATAAACCTCACTTATCACCAATCTGTATCCAGCAATAGTGTTATATGCTCTACTAGCTTCTATTTGGCTATTAAAAAATTCAATAATGCAATTCAAAGAACAAGTAATAAGATCAGCTTTCTATTTATTGCACCAAGATAACCATTTTTTAATGTTCAATGATACAGTCTTTGTAAATCCTTTATCATATGTTGCTTTGTATAACCTGATAGCTTTCTCTAAAAGGCCCTGGTTTGCGAGGCAATTTCTAATATACATGCTACACAAAGCTCCCATTTTCATATCTGCTGATACTGGTTGTAATCTCCTACTAGAACTATTGGGTTGTTTGGCAATTTCTGAGGTATGTTGTCTAACAGGAACAGAAGGACCAGGGACCAAGAAGCTGATAGCCATTATGGAAAACTATCACTATTGTAAGTTTTTTTCTTATTACCTTGTTTAACACTCTGGGCAGTAGTATTCATGAAGAATTGGCCCAAATATTCCAGCCCATTCATGGAACATGCAGAGTGTTTGTCGCTACTGCCTTTGGGTTGGGTCTTCACAATATGTATACTAGAGTTACATGATTCTTGTAGTTGGTGAATGCGTTCAGATTCATTGGTTCTCAAATTTGCTGAATTTGGTTGAATACTGTCTTGTTGATCATCTAGTTATGACAGTCTAGTTTCATGAGTGATGCTTGATCTGCTGTAACTTTCTACTAGCCTGGTATGTATTCTACTATTAACTTTATGTATCTGCACAGACAAGTTGTCCAAATTTTCTCAGCCAGTAAACTCAATGCTGGTAACACTGTACCTTCTTGCTTATTGATATTGATACAGGCCAATGGGGTTGGAAATGGCACTATAGGGACAAGAAGGAATGTGATGAATTGTCACTTCAAATTCATTGACATTACATAATGTCACTCAAGGCAGGCGAGGCAGATTTGATTTAGCACTGATCTATAGCAGCTTTGAGAATATTATCAGGGAAGTTTAAAGAAGCATATTAGTTTTACTTATTTATTTACTTTATTTTGATAGTTAGCACTTTATTAATTAAAAACTTTATTTATTTTCTAGGATGGGTTACAAGTTAAAAGTCGATTCAGGTTCAAGAGGGCAGAAAGGTACTATATTTCACTGATATCTCTTACTATAGAGCAAGGAGCCACTCTTTATAGAACATTTTTAAGAGAAAAAAAGAGGAACTTGAACATGGCTTTGACACCTTTTTTCTTATTGTTATAGACTGTTTTTCTCTTTTTTACTAACACTCTTTCCTTTTTTCTACAATTCATTCATCATTACTTTAGCATTTTTCCCATTATCCCACAATAGCATATAATCCAACATATAATGATGCATTGACATGACCACAGACTTTACCTGTCAAAGTAATATTATCTTGATAGTTGAATTCCAAATTAGGCAGGTGGTTTTTTCTTCAATAGATTAGTGTTGTCACTTAATGAAGAGCTTAATTTTTCTTAGGTCATAGCATCATGGTATGATAGTTTCATAATGCAGATCATGGGTCATTATGTAATATTTCTTTAAGATCTTAGAGTCAAATCTACCCATAACAATATATGCTACTTCAGTTATGTTATCACTCTGTATCAAAACAGTTTGATTTCTGTTATGTTCTCATTTCTCTAATGCTTTCTTTACTGCTCTTAATTCTAATAAATTTATGTGGCCTTGAGCCAATTGGTTTTCCTATCATCCAATGGCTATTTGTTCTTTCTATATAGTACCTCATTCTAACTTGAAGGTGTTGATATAAATAATTATAAAAGGTGTATCCTGTATTACTTTTCATTTATTACAGTCTGCCAGGTTCTTTATCCATATACCCAATTGGTACTTGCTTTCTCTTAAGAGATATACTAGTCCATTCAATCTATGCCATTTTATTGCCCAGTCTTGTCCCTAAGCAGAATCCTCAAAACAGTCTTGCTGGAAAGATTGTTTCTATGATGGCATTTACATTGCCTAATAGGATTGCTAATTTTCATATATGAATTACCTTTATAGTGCTCACTTTCTGGCATTCTCTTAGGATATCCTTTACTTTTCTTTGTAATATCTTGAATGTCATCTCTGCTGAGTTTATGCTGAACCCTAAAAACTTCATTGTTCTTGATAAATTCAATTATGATTTCTCTTTGTTTATTATAAACTCCAGGTATTCTAGTCTTTTACAAACCTTTTGGGAATGCTCGAGTGCTTGTTTTCTTGACTTTGTCATTATTAAGATGTTATCTAAGTAGACAATCAATTTGATGCCCTGGGCTCTTAACATTTCTATCATTGGTTTTAGTATCTTAGTAAATATTAGAGAACTTGTTATTAGGCCAAAGAGTAATGCTATAAATACATAGCATGTATTGTAAAAATTAAAAGTGAAATAGGGCTGCGAACTATATGCAAATAACATATAATGAAATGCACTTTTATATCTATATGCATCATGAAGTCTCCTGGCTTTATTAAAGACTTTAACAAGTAAGTACCTTTTATTTTAAAGTATGTATGTGCTAAAAATAAATTCAATTCCCTAACATTTATCACTAGACATGATTTGTCTGTTCATTTTGGGATTAAAAAAAGCATTAAAATGAAACAAAATACATTCAGAAAAATCTCTATAATTGTTCTTTATGTTATAAGCTTTCTTACTTCTGCATCTAATTGCTTTTAGTTCTAAGAACTCATATTTTGTTGAATCAGGTCTTGTTGTTTCAATGAAGGTGGTTCTATCTAGACTGGTTTGTAACCTGTCTTTATTATTCTTGATGACTATAATTCTCTAACTACTTTTACTCATCTTGAATAAAACAGACTCAGTTATGCTTTTATCTTTTCTACTAATGTGACTGTGTTGAAGAATCACTCTGGTGAAAATTTGCATTTCTGTTTCAATTTGTTTGTACATATAACCAGTTACTTGACCCCATGTATTGATAGCTCTTACTTCTATTATCTGGCCTTGGTTAAAAGTCCTGTCCTTTATTACTAGCTTGAAGGTTTGTGTACATTTTTTCTATTATAGTGCATCATTAAAAAATTTTGTTTTCTTATTTCCACTCTAATAACCTCTGTAAGTTTGTTTATGAATAGAGTTTCCACTTCTGTTCTTGTTTAGTGATCTGAATTAATGCATTTAATAACCTGCTTCTGTCTCTGTTTACTGATATATGATAATAAATCTAATAATAAAAAATGTGTTGATAACAATAAAAGTTCTATATATTTTCAAGCCTCAAGTACTTGCTTGTTTTCAGAGTTGGGTTTGGTCTGATACAACATCTTGATTGCACAATCAAGTGGTCTAAGAGAAGAGGAGGTTTGGTAGAACACTCTTTGTAATATTTTATCAGTGTTTTTTGACTCTTTTTGCATTCTTTTGAGTAAATCCTTATTCATAAGTGGTGGTGTAAACTTGATAAATAAATTTCTTGAAAAGGTTTGTAATAATCTCTGTTTAGTCTTTGTAGATAGTTTGTTGTCTTTGTAAATTTATGTTGGGAGTTTTCTTATCTCTTCTATAGAAATAAATGTGGTCCTATCATTATTTGTAAAATTGTTTTCTCATCTAAGGCTTGAGGATCTTTTTTATGTTTCAAATTCTGTTGTGTCAATCAATTTATTATTTTGTGTTTAGACATAAATTTGAGTTATTTTATAACTGCTTTGGATATTCTAAAGTTGCAAACTGCAAACTAAAAGAAAATAGCCTGAGTAGAAAAAAGCATAGCAGGTAGAAATATATATATATATAAGCTCTGTTTTGTTTATGCTTGTAAAGATACATAAATCCACATGATTGGACACAAACCAATAAAAGCAGACTTAGTCATATGATTTGAGATATACTTACCAAGCAGAGTTCATTTTCCAATTCTTTGTTCTTAATCTTATTGGGTTTAACTTATGTTATAGGCAGATTAGCTATTACTATAACACTAACAAAATTTAAATGAAGTGACAAATTATCACAAAGAGAAGATATGTTGTGTAACATTTCTTGAATATACTATAAGGCAGAAATGATCTAACATGAGTTTAAGGTAGTAGTTGAAAAACATTTAAAGAGTAATATAGGTGATGGTAAGTAAAGGCTTTTAAAAAATAGTTTATTTTTATTTTATGATTTTATCTTTTACTTGATGTACAGTTTTAAGAACTTTATTAAGCATCAAATTTTTCTTTGTAAAGGGCAGGGATTGAGTTACTAACTTTATAAACTATGTACGTCAATCTTTTTACAAGAGAAAACCTAATATATATTTATAAAAAACTTACAGAAGGGAAAAAAGGAAACTTCAAATACTTTTCATAGGGCTTTGATGTCTTTTTTTCTTATTTTTATAACCCAGACTTTATCTTGATAGTAATTTTACATTGTGTTTTACTTTTTCAATGACAACAACCCACTATTATGCAATAATGCACCTACATAGCCACATACTTTTTCTGTTAAAATAATGTTATCTTGACAGATGTTAAGCTATATCAGTTAGTGCTGCTTAACTATAGGTTCTATAGCATTCAATGAGGCTTGGCTGGTACATATAGCTGCAAGGAGATTGTTATTCAATTACTCTAGGTTACAGCATCAAAGATTTTGTATAGGGCATTTTAGAGGCCATTTTCCCAAAGTCAGATTTGCCTATGATACCTCATATACATTGCATGATTTTTATTAAAAAAAATTAAAAAATAAATGTGTGTCTCTACTTCATATATGACTCTAAAAACTTATTTGTTCTTCAGCAATCTGTGTCATTATACATCATATACCTAATGATATGCTATTTATATAATACCAAAATTTTTTCACATACAGTATATACAGTATGTATTATTAATTTGATTAGCTGATATTAATGAGAGTATATAGTAAATTAGTACAGTATGAAAATGCAAATTGGGACAAATATATAAAAATCATAATAGTATGTATAATTTGTAAAAAAAAAAATTCTTTCAAAAAAGACTAATTTTTCTATGACCTCATATAAAAAAAGAATAAAGAATAATGTTTGCACTTGTTCTAACTCTAAATATAAGAAATAGTTTACTTAGATCTTCTCTTTCATTTGGCATGAAGAAGTAATAAATTATCAGTATGATGAGTAAGCATTAGCTATATTAACTAATGCTTATTAGCTATGATCAATAATTCATTACATTTCTGTGCCAAACTGATAATTGGCTTATAAAAATTAATTTTATAAACTACTGTTATATCAAAATCTATAATATATTAGATATAGTAAATCAGAATCTGGTTCTACTATACTAAGCAATATTTGTTATATCCATAATTTATTATATCAAAAGCTACTATGTAATATATACTTGCTCAAAGTTAATAGAATTAATGTGATATATATAACTGATATTATATGCATAAAATAGTCTGTGTCAAATATATCTTTACATATTGCATGACATGTTTTAAAAGTAAGACATAATTAGAAATAAGTTCAGTTAGTTATAGTCAGCTATTATTCATTTATTGAATAATAGCTGACTATTGATACAGATTAGCCTAAAAACTAAAGATCTCTTAAATATTTTAAAAATAATATTTAATTGAACCAATATCATATAATAGTTAGTTTGTAAGCTAAGCCATTCTAGTTGACTATGGCTATATTCAAACAGCTGGCTGACTATAACCTAACCCTTTTTACTTTTTTGTTCAGCAGGCTGTTAATCATTTTATATAAGTTTGTAATCTTCTATCTTATAAAAAAAAAAGTTGTTAATATATCTCAAAAATGTCTCAAATTATTAGTTTAGGAAATTCCTAGTTTTCTGATATGAGAACTTTTTAATTATAATCAAGTTGTATTGGAAAAGTATTAGAAATTAGATTTGGATTTTGTCAAAAAAATTAAGCATTTTTTAAAATTAATCAATAAGATATTTTATTTTAGAAATATTCAAAGTACATTGTAACTTTTATTTAGTATATACTTAAAAAGTTGGAATACTTTTTGATAACTTTTATATATTTGTAGAAATTGTAAATTGGAATGCAATTAGCATTTTACAAATTTATTATATCTAATTATACTATGCTGCAATAATATTATTTTTGCAATATATATATATTATATTTTATAATTTTTTATTTAACATTTTTTCTAATAAATAATAATAAGCAATAAAGAAAACTATAATAACCTTACATTTATTTTATTTTATTTTTTTTTTAAACTTAAGCAGTTACGCTAGTACTTTATTAAAATTTTTGAAATTACATTAGTAATTACATAAAATGTCCCTAATAACTAAGTCTAGCATCACCCGGCCACCCAAACGGTACCTAAGTGTGACCTGCCACACTACTCCAAACATGTTAAAATAGGTTGCTCATCTAACTACTTAAAGTTCAAAAAGATAGAAGGGGCTTCTCCCTTCTATGACAAGCTTTAATAATGTCTTCTTAGCTTCTTTTCTAATTCATAAATCCTTCTTTTCTTGAGCTTGCTGTTTGATTTTGCTTTTAGTGTCTTGTGTATTATATAAAATTGCTTTAGTTGATTTAG